GGAGGTTTATAATAACACCGGTGTAACTTTTACTAAGTATTACACAGCTCAATAACTTTATATTAAATGTGAATTTTGTAAATCCAACCATTAGGTTGAAAATCCATATCACTTTATATGTTTATATCAAATTTTGTTAAAATTGAACAATAATTTGAAGTTAATCAAAGTGTTCATATATATATATATATTAATTTATGTGGGGTGGGGAATGAAAAAATTAATTGAAAAGTTGCAAATTGGAAATACGAATTCAGAAAACCTTCAAAAAATAAAACCCTTCTTCTCATATTGTCTAAGGCACGTGCAATATATCCCTTCTTCTCATTCGCACATTTCTCATTTTATCAAAGCCATGCGCACAAGTTCATGCTTAGGACTTCGATCATCTCAAATGGAAAATGCAACACACGCTCTTTGATATTCATTATATTGAGGTATGGTTTTCTTTTCCACTAAAAATCCTATTTTCTGTCTTTTCTTTGGATTCGTTCTACATTAAGTGGTCTTATTTGTTCCTAAACCCTAATGTCCCACCCAATACAAGTGTGGGTAGTGGAACATTATACCATGCATTCTTAGTGATGATAAAACTTCACTAGTACACAATACACATTTTACGTCGGCTATTTTAGGGGTTTTTACATCAGAAAAACTTCTGATGTAGAAGCGGGAGACGTAAATTTACGTCGGGGCGCGAAAAATGACGTAAATTTACGTCGGACATGCCAAGGTCCGACGTAAAAAAGTCATAAAAATTTAAAAAAAATAAAAAAGAAAAACGCGTGCAAGCAAAACGACTCGTTCTGCTTGATAAACCTAGGAGCAGGTTCTCCAAATCCGGACTTCGTCACTTCTTTCTCCAGCTTCAAAAACTCGAAATGCAACACAAACATTATTACGAAAAAAACATCCCAGAAAACACAAACTTGATAGAAGATGTTACCTCATAAAAAAACAGATGGACGTATGGTTAAGCCATTTCCATCAACACACGAAGAAGAAACCAACGCAGCCCTCCGAAGAAGAAAAACAGAAGAAGTTGCAGATGAGGAGGACAACCACTATTTGAGGAGGTCTCGGAGGGATGAGGTGCAGAAGAAGGTGCACAACGCACGGGAAATAAATTTTTGAAATCTAGCCATGCGCGCACACCTTCTTTTAATTCGCGAGGGAACTCAATTCATATGCTTTGATGGATTTGCGAGGGTTTAACGACGGATTTGCGAAGGACATATTTGCGAGGGTTTAGCGAGGGATTTGCGAGGGACCTCAATTGATATATTGCTATAGAGTTGCGAGGAATTAGCGACCATATCGCGAGGGATAATTGCGACGGAGTAGCGACAAAGTAGCGACGGAATATTAAATACAATTAGCGAGGGAATTTAGGTTCTACATTTGCGAGGCGATAGCGAAGAATTAGCGGCACAAATTTGCGACGGACTAGCGAAGCTGGTTGCGAGGGAAATGCGAAGGAATGTAGCGAGGGAATTGTGAGGGATATGCATCCGTCGCTAATTAGCGACTTGAATTTAGCGAGGGAATGATCCCTCGCAAATCCCTCGCTAGTCCCTCGCTATTCTGTTTAGCGAGGGATTTGCGAGGGATCATTCCCTCTCTAATTCGCAATTTTCTTGTAGTGAAGATAGCTTCTCCCAAGAAGCCAAGCCTCTTAGGCCTTTATCAACATTCCAAGTTACTACCTTGAGCCAAGAACCTTGTTCACCTACACAAAGAAACTAACACACCAAAACAACACTAGAGAAAATTGGTAGAAGAAAAACAACAAAAGTATAACTAAAATAAGCTAAACTTTAAGTTAAATAGGCGTCACAAACTCAAAGAGTAACAAGAATATAGATAACCAAAAAGAACAATTTGGAAGCTAGAACATCAAAAGGAGTAATCCTAGGGTTGGTTCTAGATTTGGACTAGAAAAGCAAAACGACTCAAATCCATTTCCAAATTAAATGCAAATTCACATGAAATAAAATGTGAAAAATATTTTTAGATGCTTTTCGCAAAATTCTCCATATATTTAATTATCACAAATATTTTTTCCTCTTTTTTCTTGTAATTTTTTTTTACACTTTTGTTTTTCTATTTTTTGGATCTATTTTGTGACTAATTTATTTTTGTTTTAGGTACTGTTTCTATGTCACAAAATGTTCCAAAAATAAGAACATTAAATTGCAAAAAAAATAGAAGTAGAGAAAATTTAAAAGGACTTAAAAAAATTGGTGAAAATAATCCTATTACTCTTGTTTTTTAATTAGACCTTTGAATTTCAAACTTTTGAACTTCAAAGAGAGAGTTCAATATAACATTACCACAACCTCAAGATTTTTCAAGGATTCACCATAGTTTGAAATTAATTTGAATAGCAAAAAGTTCAAGGAAACAAGAAATAATGAAAACTACTAAATATATGGAAACCTAACTCTACAAGAAGCATGTTAATGATCTAATAACATGCTTGAACTCAAAGATCATAAACAAAAAAACATTATACATTTTTGGTCTAGTACATATAACAATTATTTTTGTAAGATTAAAAAATTAAAAGGACTACTAGAAGTGATTGTCGGAACCCGAAAAATTATGAAAATCTCATCGGCTAGGGAATTCTCAAAAACCAGACTAATTATCCATAATCAATGGTTTTTGAAAAGTTTCGAAGGATTCGCCACTAGGGGTGGGTAGATGGACCCGGGTCCGCGAACCAGTCTGTAAGCCCGCGGATTTCGTAGATAACAGTTATAAATAATGCATTGGCCTCTTTTTTGCAAACACAATTACCAGAGATGATGAGGCAAATAATTCAAGCAGTTCAACCATCAACAACACCATCAGCCAACCAACATAGGGAGGATCAAGGACGAGATGATGATTTTACTAGCTTAGGTTGATTACTATTTAGGATGACTTGTTATTTGGATTTTCTTTTTGTAAGACATTAATTAGTTTAGGTTTCTTTAAGATAGTATGCAAAAGTTAGATTTTGTAAGACATTTAACAATTTGGTTTTGTAAGAGATATTGTTACATGTAACTTTTATTTTAAATCATGTTGAATTGAAAAAAAATTATGTAGTTGATTTTAGATTTATTTAAAATATCAAATTAAGTGGCATATTTACAGGAATTCATGAGAGAATAATGTATATATAGATAAATTAGGAAGGTTTCGCGAGATATTAGCGAGGATTCGCGAGGAAACTCAAATTGTGAAGGTTTCGCGAGGGATTAGCGTGGTATTCGCGAGGGAACTCAATTCATATGCTTTGATGGATTTGCGAGGGTTTAACGACGGATTTGCGAAGGACATATTTGCGAGGGTTTAGCGAGGGATTTGCGAGGGACCTCAATTGATATATTGCTATAGAGTTGCGAGGAATTAGCGACCATATCGCGAGGGATAATTGCGACGGAGTAGCGACAAAGTAGCGACGGAATATTAAATACAATTAGCGAGGGAATTTAGGTTCTACATTTGCGAGGCGATAGCGAAGAATTAGCGGCACAAATTTGCGACGGACTAGCGAAGCTGGTTGCGAGGGAAATGCGAAGGAATGTAGCGAGGGAATTGTGAGGGATATGCATCCGTCGCTAATTAGCGACTTGAATTTAGCGAGGGAATGATCCCTCGCAAATCCCTCGCTAGTCCCTCGCTATTCTGTTTAGCGAGGGATTTGCGAGGGATCATTCCCTCTCTAATTCGCAATTTTCTTGTAGTGAAGATAGCTTCTCCCAAGAAGCCAAGCGAAATTTACGTCGGACCCTTAAAGGTCCGACGTAAAAAATTCATAAAAATTACGAAATATGCCACCGCGTTTTTATTACATCGGGTATTTGTATTTCCGACGTAAAATGGGTGACGTAGTATCTTAATTTTCCACAAGTGCTTTAAGCTTAGAATTATAAAATTTGATACTAGTTGTTGCTCCTGTGAATTAGTTTGGCCAATTGTTTGGTCTCGAGTCCTCATTTTATGGATGCTGATCGTTTTGTGGGTGAAACATATCAGAGCTAAATATGGTGACTACTTTGGCATTACGGTCGCTGCTTATCCATGTTTCTTGCTTTTGTAATCATTATTATTTTCAACTTAATTATTACTTTTTGTGGAATGCTTTTCTGCTCCTTTTTCCATCATCATTTTCTCTTTTAATGTAGTGTCTTTCTCTTCAGAGGCACATCTGGATGTTATAGAAAGCGATGGGTTGGCTTCCCCGGAGGATTATCAGAATGATCTTGCTTACCTGAAGAGCAAGGTCTTGTCATTGATTTAGAATCCACCCATTTTACGTGTTAAAAGTTCTTTTATTAGTTCTAGAACATAATTTTAGGAAACTCGATCTTTTGATCCGTGTCTTGCATGCTTATACAAGAAGGAAAAGAAAATATTAATGAGAAATGTTGCATTTATTGATAAAAATGGCTAATCTTCTTCCAAAATAAAGTGAAAAGTAAACAGTGAGGGGTGGATGGTGAAGAAGAATTATTTTGCTAGGAATTTGTTGTTCATTTTTTGCCTTTTTTTTCTTCTGAGTTTATGTTCTTTTCTATTTATAGGTTGATGCTGGAGCAGGTCTGATTGTAACTGATACAGATATATTCCTCAAATTTGTGAATGACTGTCGCCAAATTGAAATAACTTGTCCTATTGTCCCTGGAATTATACCCATTAATAATTACAAGGATTTTCTCCGCATGATTGGGTTTTGTAAAACGAAGGTAAGAAAAAAAACTGTGTCTAGTCCCAGTATTAAATATTCTAATAGTGTGTCTGGATAAAAAAAAATTTCAACATAACTGCCATTCAACTCAAAGTTTACAATATACTTGCTTCTTCATTTGCATCCTTGAAGTGTGAATGTCAGTTTTGAAGACTCCTAACGGAAATTCGAACACACTAAAATGTTTAATAATCTCAAGGACCTTGGGGGAGAGGGATTCTCAAAGGAAGCATAAAAAGTCACTTGTTAAACATTAATATATCTCTTTATACATGTATTATACCGGAAGAAAACATCAGTTGTGCCCATTGGAACTTGAGAATATTAATAAAAGTTAAAATTCAAGACGTGCATAGAAATTACATTGGTGGGCAAAACATTACTTGCAATTGGATAGATATATGCAAAATTAATAATTAACTACTAAAATATTAAGCCAACATGCATTGATGTAAAGCCTCCATTCTTGGAAATTCTTGTGTTAACTGCATCAGAAGCTCAGCCGCCTGTCATATTATTTCTGTTGCTAATCTCACTAGTCATTGCCATCTTTGAAACATTTGTTGGGTATTTCTCCTTGATAGAAAATGCTAGAATAATATATTGAAAATATTCAATAGTATATATACAGCTTATTTCTTACAATAATTTAAAGTTTCTAACTCTAAGTGGTTATTTCTTAGGATTATTTTCTCTATTTCTTGGGTTTTAATATTTGTACTGATCATATTATAATAAATCTGTCCACTAATATTGCACAGATGTCAATGTCATGGAATTTTTTCCTGCCCTTCTCAACTTTTTCTTTTTTCACAGCCAAAGTTGAATTGGTTTGCTACACTCTGTGTAGCACGGGTTCAGTACTTTAGTATTTCATGATTGATCTCCTTAGTATTAGTATTACTAAGGGATAGTGCGATATGTTTTATCATCGCATTTATTACCCGAGAGAATATTATTTGAAATATCTGTTTATTCAATTTTCTCCTTTTATACTTAAAACCTCATAATTTCAACAGCAAGTTACAAGTTATCCCATATATGTCTGGGCACGTGCATATGTGTAGATCAAATTAAAAATTTCAAATTAGCTGACTCAAATTCAACCCTGACAAATTATGGAAACGGCTCATCTATGTGTAAATTTCTTTGACATAAAAGCAAGATATTTTGATCGGTGTCGTACTCGATCAAATAAAATGTTGATTTTATAGTACTAAGAAGTGAATCCTAGATCGTCTCTCTCAAGGAGTAACAAGTCAATCAGAGGTTCTCACGATGCAAACAACACACACAAAATGGGGGGTTTTCAGATTCAAATAAAACGGAACAGTAAGCAATGAAACAGTAATTTAACACGTGAACAGCGACTCTCCAACTCAGTTGTAGCACCATATCATTGGTTCAAAATATTATCTTATCTAAACCTATATTCAAATCCCAGTAACCACTAAGCGTCATTACCATTATTGAACACATACATACGAATGAAGCATTAGCATGCATCTCTATTCACGAGATTAAGCAAACCATGAGTAAAGAAGGCAAACCAGTTAAGTTGAGAGCGAAACCATTAAACATGGAAACAAAACCAACACCAACAGATTTGTAAGGATTAGAACGTAAGAACACCTTGAATGAATAAACCTCAATGATTACATTAAACTAAGTTAAAGAGTGCTACAGATTAGCCTTCCATGGAGGAAGACAACAGAAGAAGAAGAAGAACAAGTTACAACAAAAACGAGTGTGCAATACAAAAATGGTGGTCTCCCTCAACTTGTCCAGTAGCCAAATCAAGAGAGGTGGCTGTGTGTTGTCCCCCACTAGTCCGACCTACCTAAGACCTAAAAAACGTAAATGGGCCCCCTTGTCCATGTGTATGTCCCAAAATTACAAAAATAGGATAAATAAAATGAAAATAAGATGCATGTGTGAAGTGCTGCTGACATGACACTTTGTCTCTTGAAGTCCGAAATATTCAAGCCCCAAAATACTTCACAATTAAACCCAAATCAACAATTAAAATAAGTACAAAAAGATAAATAAATAATAAAAAATAATGACTCATATTCACTTTTGGATTTGGCATATGTTTAGAAGGAGTCAACATGCTTGTTCCTTATAAATCGAAAAAAAATTTGAGCACAAATTTTGGAGTATAGAAACTGATTTAATTAGTTTTTTTTATATTTTTATTTTCCCCTCTTATATTGGCATCACATAAGTTAACTTATGAGTTATGTAAAATCTCAAAATGAGTTTTGAATTATGTTGACTATGCATTTCATGTTTATTCTCATCTTTTTTTTCTTGTACGTCTTTGATTCTATACATTTTCTCTTCTTTTTGTAAACTCTCTTTAAAACAAAGCTTCTGATTCTTTTCTATCCAATCATTTTATCACCTATTTTGCCCCTTTCACCTTTCTCAATATTAGAAAGACTAAGCTTAGATCATTGCCTACTATCATGATGTAATTGATTTCCATTTTGTAAGGCAGTTCACTGATTTGATATAAATTTCCGTATATATATGGTTAGATGCTCTTCTATTTATAATGGTGAAGCCGTGAAGGTTATCAATTGTAAAATTAATATAGCCATTCTGTGATCTCGTTATGTCATATTTCAAAGAGGTTTCTTATGTTTGTTTTCAATTGATAGAATAATGTGCAACTTGGGTGGACTAGATACTTGGATAATGACAATGGAGAAATAACATAACTGCTACATTTGAAAATATTACATCTTGTACATGCTAACAATATTCAAATTTGAAGTGAAGACCCCTTCCAGTCAGTGCTTGAAATTAGATATAAGTTCATAATGAAAGTTTTCACACAATATACTAGTCAAGTGGGCTCTAATAAAATGTTTTATTTCCATTTTTTCAATGACATAATCCACATACCAGTTGAGATTATGGCTGCTTTAGAGCCGATCAAGGACAACGAAGAAGCTGTCAACTCATATGGACTTCACCTGGGAACTATGGAGAAAAATTTTAGCTCATGGAATTAAGACTGTGCATCTATATACCCTAAATATGGAAAAATCAGCATTAGCAATACTAATGGTTGTCTCCTATTGCATGTGATATTCTGGCTTGTGATGTGTATATTTTTAATGTTATTAACAGAACCTTGGCTTAATTGAAGAGATCAAAATTTCTAGGGCCTTACCTTGGAGATGCCCTCCAAATTTCTATGCATATATATGGTTTATGTTCTAGTTCATGTATATATTATTATTAATTTAAAT